GAACCGAGTCCAAAATGGCTTCTATGGGGGGGGGGCGGGGGGGAGAGAAGCCGAGCTGGAGCCGGCGGGGGGACCCGGATGTTGGATACAAAGGGAGGCTGGGCGGGAGGGGGAGAGAGGCTGAGAGGAAGCCCAGCAGCTGACTGGGGGGAGGCGCTGCCCGTCAAGGCGCGGGGCGGGGGATGGGAAGGAGGCGAGGGGTCCGGAGAGGAGCATTACAGCCCCCTTCTGGCCTGGTCCCCCCCCCCCCCCCCCTTCAGCCTGTGAGAGGCCAGGACTTGCCAGCCCAGCCGCAGGGGGCAAGTGGGGCAATTTGCCCTGGGCCCCACAGGGGCCCCCATGAGAATATAGTATTGCAACTTTTTTTTTATGGAAGGGGCCCCCAATATTGCTTTGCCCCAGGCCCCCTGAATCTTCTGGGCGGCCCTGCCCAGCGGCCCTTTGCATTGCCTCACCTGGGGCTAGGGGCCAGGACCGGATGCTTCCGAGGAAGGTGCCCTAGTGCTGAAGTGGGCATTTAGGGGCTAAGCTGCCCTTAGGGGAAATTCCTTCCTCACACCTTCCCCCCAGCCCAGTGGAGGTTGGTTTCAGCCCTGAAGCTTTTAGATCTCTTCCAAACTTTGGCTGTTGTTGGTAACATCCCATCTAATATTCCTGTGCACCCTGTGACTGTCCTAGCCTCCCTCTGAAGCCAGCTAAGCTCATCCTCTCATTATCTTGTGGCAATGAGTTCCAAAGACTATTTGTGCCTTTGCTAAAAAAAAAAAATACCTCTCTGTACACCACTGTGACCTTAGTGGACTCTGTCACTCTGCTGGTGTGCAGAAGTAAGGCAGATAATACAGAATCAGTGCTAATAAACTAGAGATGGAAATTGGGAGCCACAAGAGTCAAAACTGGAGAGGTGCAACTGTGCAGCTGATGTGATAGAGGAAGGATTGAGGTGGACAGTCACCTTCTACTCCAACATCTGAAAGCAAGAGAATGCAAGAAAGCTGTTTTCTCGGTCAGAAATCATAGAAGATGTTATCAGAAAGTGATGAGGAAAGAGTGTCTGTCCCTGGAAGAATGACGAGAGATGGCAAACATGCCCTCATTCTATAAAGCGTCTGCCACTGAATCAGAATGGACGGTAATGACAAATGGGACACAGCAGGTCAAACACAGAGGAAAGTCTTCCTCTGAGAGATATTTAAGGGGGTTGTCTCCGTTGCACTTTGGCAAGACTTAAATAGATCGTTATGGTGATAAAGTCTTAGGGTGGGAGTTAGCATTGGCCTAACTCTGCCTCCATTGAAGTCAATCGTAAAACACCTATAGACTTCCACAGGAGATAGGCTAATGCTCTGAGTGGTCAAAATCTCATTCTTACTGATTTGGGGAGATGTGCATATTTCAGTTCTGTGTATTGCAGTATTGCCTAGAAGCCTCAGTTACAGACCACAGACCCCTTACACTAGGCGCTGTACAAACACAAACAAGAAGCTGTCCCCTGCCCCAAAGAACTTACAATCTAAATAGAGTAGTGTAATGGCTGTTTAAATGTGTAGCAGGAAGTTTGAGGCTGGAGGAGTTGGGGAGGATTTTAGGCAGAAGCGCTACAGAGAATTGAGAAACAGTATTTTTACCTTATTCTAATCAGAGTCATTGCTCACTCTTAGAAGAAAGCAACTTTCTGTGATGCTTTAACATTGTCATAGGACATCAGAAGTTGATTAGTTTTAAGCCAGTGTAAATCAGAGGAAAAGAAGATGCTGAAGCTCAGTCCTCCCCAAAACTCTCAGTGTGATAAGCTCAGAGCATGCTCAGAGTGGAAGGAGCATTTCACCAGACTCTGAACAGCAGTAAAGCTTAACACAGAGAACAGTGAAGTGCAGGTCAGCTCATTAATTTATCCAGTGGGGAGTGAAGCTGAATATATAAATCATTTGCCCTTGCTCTAGAAGGAGATAAAAGTAACTATGAATCATTCCTTAAAAAGTTTGATGAGCATTTTGTTTTTAAAAGAAATGTAATACATGAAGCTTTTAACAAAGTGTGGAGGTGCCCTGGGAATGCTTTTATAAGAGCTTTGGGACAGGGACAGTCTTTTTGTTCTGTGTTCGTACAGTGCCTCGCACAATGAGCTCCTGCTTCCTGATTGGCGCAACTAATAAAGAGCTTCCTAAGCATAAGTAAATTATTGTGACTTTGGTACCAGTAAAGAAAAATGCATACGAGATTATACCGTGGTTGTGATTTTACATAAGGCACTTTCAGAAAAGTTACAGTAAATGTTTGCGCTAACAGGCAATGCACCTGGAATGGCTAGTGAAAATGCAAGTCATCTACCAAGAAAGTAGTGGGAGCAGACGTCCAAGTAGCAAAGAAAAACTCCCACAGAGCAAAGAGAAGCACCATAAAAAATGTCTTAAGGGGACAGATATCACTGAGGGGGCATATCTGCACTACAGAGACTATACTGGCATAGCTATGTAAACTTAACCCCATAGTGTAGATGCAACCTAAACCAACAGAAGGGGGTTTTCTGCCAGTGTAAGACACTACCTCCCTGAACAACGTTGGCTACACCAACAGAATGGACTTTAACACAATCCCACAGCAGCTGGTTTAAACACTTTTGCTCTTTTCATTCCAAGATCTCAAAGCACATGTACAAACATTCCTTAATTAAGCTGCATGACCCACCTGGAAGCAAACAGAGGCCCAGAGTGGGTGATTGATTTGCCCAAAGCCACAAGTGAGTTAGGATCTCTGGGTTCTAATCCTGACTCCTAATCCAGTTCTCTAAACATTTAAACTCTGTCTCCATTATTAAACCACAACAGTTCCATTCTCCTCTGGCCACAAATAGATGATTCCCAGGAGACCCAATTCTTCACTGTCTTGCACTTTCATTCACACTTATGTAAAGTGGGTGTAAAACACTAGCAATAGCGTATCACACGCACCCAGTTTGCACAGGTGCAAGTGACTACCCAAAGCACAACACGATGATGAATAAGGCCCCCTGGCTTGTCTGTTTGGGGAAGAATATTTGTCACACAAACACCACAATGCACTTCCTTCCATTACATTGTTTCATATTTGGATATTTTTCATCATACAAAGTTAAAGTGTTTTCTGTACTTGCAACAAATTTTAAAAAATAACATCACATCTCCCAGGGAGTCAGTACTGTCACTGATTACATTTTGATACTGACATGGTGACAGTGTCACAGCCTTTGCAGCATGACTTTTTTAAACTTTCTGCCATTCATAGGGAATTTTCAAAATATTGGTACAGAAGGAGGGGATCTAGGCATATCCAGTTACATAATTCAGTGGTGTGCTTTAAGAAAGACTTTATGGCGACAGTATAAACTACAAACTCATTTTAAGCTGTTTTTCCTCACCTAAACCCAGCAATCTAAAAAACACTTACAAAATAAGGCTCCAGTTGTGATCCACTTAATTAGATCCTTGTGCCTATGCAGAACCCCATAGGCACCAATGTCATTTCATGCAGGCATATGGCTCCACTAGTGCAGTAACAGTTGTCAGATGGGGAATGCAGTTTGGGTTATTTTTAAATAATTCTTTATACCAGAAACAAACAAAACAAAAACCACCAGACATAGAATAAACTTTTTAGTGGACTAAAACAGTTTGACAGTGTGTGACATTTTCTGTAATAACGTATTCTATCTTTATAATGCTGTGACAGTCCTCACTTGGGGGTTGGTTGTTCAGGCAGTGTTGCGTAGTGGTCAGGGCTAAGGCCTGTGACCTGCAGTGGGGATGTTGGTAGGCAAGCCTGGGCCCTCCAACCCAGGGCCCTTTGAGGGCTATCAGTACTCTGATAGCTGAGGCTCCTTAAGGCTGCCCTCCCTGGGCTACTTCCTATCTCCTCCCCTGCAACTGTCCCAAAGTCACTGTCTGGGTTAAGGTGGTGTGAAGGGTGCCTGCCCATCACAAGGCACACTCTGGTGGCAGCATGCACATGACAGCTCTCTTCCTCCCTTGGGTGGCAACTGTCTCCTCCCCGCGTATGGCCCACCCTCCTGGGCCAGCTAAGGCCTAGGGCTTTCCCCTACTGGGGTAGTCCAAACAAAAACTAAAGGGGATTACCAAAGTCCAGAGTTCATATGAGGGGGAGATGGGAATGCTTCCCTCTCCGGCTGTCTCTGTGGCATGTCCTCCCTTCCCTCAGGGAGGGACCTTTGGGCAGTTAAATAAATAAAATATATGGAGCTATACCTATCTCATAGAACTGGAAGGGACCTTAAAAGGTCATTGAGTCCAGCCCCCTGCCTTCACTAGCAGGGCCAAGTACTGATTTTTGCCCCAGATCCCTAA